AAATCAGTAAATTTTTATTTTTTTTTTAGTGGCCCTAATCCTCTTCCGTATAATCCATGTACGGGATTTATAAATCTGCCGCATGAAGCCAAACTCACCGAAGGACAATCTGAACCATCCTGCTGCGAACCGGCCAACAATCCGCTCCAAGAACAGCGTTTATCTAGACTTTCAAGATCCACTACAGTTCTGTTTACTTCGGCTTCCCGCGCTGCTCCAGCGAACCAACCGACGGTGCGTGCTGATGACGTCATGGCGTACTTCCGCCTGTGTTTCCTGATCCGGGTCATCAACGTGGTTTCTGATGTTTTTAAACGTGCAGCGTTACATCTGAGGTGAGTTCTGTTCAAACCCAGCATAAATGGACGTTTTAAAGCGTTTTTCTGGGCTGTAGTTGAGCTCTGAGCAGTTTTACTGCCTTTAAGTGACTCACCAGGTTCCTTTATGTTAGCTTTCGGAGCTAACTGCCGTTATTTCTGATGGTGCCGCGCGCCGCCTATCTAACTGTCCTTTAAAGTTGGTTCTTATTTGGAGAGCAAGACTCTGATTTAGTCCTTTAGTTCATTAAATCCCTACATAAACGGGTCTAATTGTAAAGCTTGTAATATTGCGGGTTTATGTCTATGCTGGACTTTTCTTCTGTTAAAAGGCGTTTTTTAGCGCTAAATGTTTTCTGGATTCAGAAGTGGAAGTCTGGACTTAATCATTCTGGAATTTAAATGTTTATTTCGCTGAAAGGAAGAAGTTCTAATCTCAGCCAGACGCTTTAAACTAGTTCCAGGTTTGCTTCAAGTTTTTGACCGCGATTGGCTCCTCGGGGCCACCGTCCTGCGTGTTTTACGCACCTGATTGAGTGGGATAATTAGGAGCTGACACTTTCTTCTCACTAACGAGGCTAAAGAAGTCTCCTTTAAACTCATACACAGAATCTACCCCGTTAAAGTCTATTTAAAGAAATTAAACTCTGATATTAATGTTAGCTGTTCCTTCTGTGACACTTGCCCAGAATCGGTCACTCATCTGTTCTGGTTTTGTCATTATTCTAAAGTATTTCGGCAACACTTTTGTACTTTTATTGTGTCAAAAATATCAATAGGATTTCAGTTATATTGGGTAAATGTCCTGTTTGGTTTTCAACAAAATGAATGAATGAATGCGAAGTGTTTTCTTCTCAATTTATTAATTATTAAGGCTAAATTTAATCTTCATAAATGCAATTGGTTGAGAAAAAACCTGACTTTTCAGTTTTTTTGATTGAATTTAAACATTATATATTTACAATTCGACCAAAAACAACTTTATTGGCTTGCAATCAAATTGGAATTTTAGATAATTTATTGTGTTGAATTACTGTGGCATCTGGTATTTTTGTCACCTTTGGTACTGTTTTTCTTTAAACAAGATTATGTTGTCATTTCTTATTATATACTTTTATTGTTTTCTGTTAATGCTCCCCCTGGCAAATGTTTTTATTGTTTTGTGATATGTACACAATGCAGTTTTGTATTGTTGTGTTGTAAATAATAAAGTTTATTAAAAATAAATAAAATAATTGGGAGCTGACAGGCTGACCTCCCTCTACCTGCTTTCCAGAGGGGGGGGGGGTTTACCATTAGGCAATACTAGGCAGTTCTCCAGGGCCCCAAGTTCCTGGGGGGCCCTAAAACTCTATTAACATGTTTGATTAATACAACTATTCCTTATTTAGACTTAGACATATTTATTTTTGTATACATGAATGTAAACAAAAAGAAATTTCATTTAAAACGGCTCTAAACAATTTCATTTTTAAAGTGCAGCCTTGAAAAACATTAATAAATACATAAAAAATAGTAATATAAATATGACTGTATATTTACAGTTCTAACATTAATATTTTTTTATATAAATTTGTGCAAATTAATTGTTTTTGATAAAAATCCTTTCACTAAAATGTCATCAGAACACTTATATTTAGGGTGTCTGAGCCCATGGATCAGTCCATTTGCTGCACATGTTCAGAAAGGTCCAAGAAGAAAGGAGCAAACCATTTGAAAACAAGAGGTGTGAAGAGCAGTGTTGCCGACTTAAGCTGGGCATTCACTGTGGGAGTTTTTTCAATCTTTGCACGCAGCTGCAGCTCACACTGCACGATAAAACCCTGCAGTTTCGTCGTACAGTGTGAGTTTACAGCTCAGGATGTGCAGCACGACGCTCTGATGCGATCTACCTGCTCACACTGGACGTCTAAAGAGGTGTTCCCTCTGACAAACAGGGTGACATCCTGATGAGAACAAAATGTCGGCACACCTGAAACAATCCGCTCATTCTTCATTTTTAATAATTCTGACCAAACATTTGAAAATAGTCTTTTTATTTAGTTTTGTTGTTAGAAAAATGAACAGGCTCTCCTTGGGCGTCCTGATGATTCACAGGATTGAATCCAGGAAAACGGTGTTTAGAGAAGCTGGGTCGACCCAGCACTCTGCTGGTGGCAGGGTTCAGTGGGAAAACCAAAGCTGGAGGCTTTGTAACCTTTGATAAAGGTCAGACTGGTCCAACCAGCTGAGGACTTCTACCAGAACGTCTCAGTGGTGGTGGCAGCATCATGCTGTGGGATTCCAGATGCCATTAGATGCAGAACCACCAACTTCAGTTGTTTCAGCAGCTGAAGACGAAGGCGGGTTGGATCGTTCTGGCCTTTGGGTCTAGAACTGTGGTCACCAATTTAAAAAAATCATCAACCAGTAAAGGTCCGGAGACATTTTTAATTATAATCTGTTACTTTAAACAGAATTTAACTGAAATAAAAGGAGTATTTTTTATGCATCCATGTTATACATAGAAATTTAAATAAAAAAATGTAAAAAGAAAAATAGAACATTTTAAAATTTAAAGTGTTTTTCAGAGAACAAGAGACACTTTCCTGATTCACATATAAAACACCTGAACTGACTTTTTTTTTCTGTCTTAATGAGAGCAGTGGGCTTTAGGTTGACCTGTAAGGCTTTAAACCCGGGTTTGAATGGAGACTAAGCCATTCCAGGCTCATTCGTGAGCTTATATATTCCCATAAACTAAGACTGTTTAATTAAATGATTGCATGCAAACCATTGGTACTTCAACATACCAGGGAGCAGAGTTTTCATGTCAATCAAAATATTTATTTTATACTAATTGGCTTAAAAGTTTCATCAAATCCAGTCAAAATGCCCAAAAGCGCCTCTCATAATTTCAAAAGAAACTTCTCCTCTCAGGCCTGGATGAAGAGATGCTGTGAAGAGATGCAGAGTTTGGAAGCAGAACAAACATAGTTCATACAAACCATGGATGATGTTAGTTATCCCTGTTACAAAAATCCACAACAAAACTGAAATATTTGGGCAGAAACTGAACATATGCTGGATTATGGTGGGGATTTTTTAAATATATCATATTAAATTAATCGTTAATTTCCGCATGTTTTGCTCCGGAATTTTTTGATAATATAGCGCATTCTCTCTTTGAGTTCTGAGGAAGTCGGTGCGGAGCAAGACGGGAGGAACAGCGGAGGCTGTAGGCTTTGCTTTGCGCAGGAGGTCTGGAGCGCAGCGGGGCGGTTAGGGAAGATGTGGGATTTCGGGGTTAGACACTGTCGTTAGACAACATGCGGTAATTTATAAATATTATAAATCAGGTTGGGTCCGGATTAGCCAGCAGGTGGATCCGGATCCGGTCCGCTAATCCGTGGCCTCTGGTCTACAATCTGACATAAATGTGGCGGTTTATAGAAGACGTCATGAACCTTTTCCAGCTGTAGTGAGCAAATGGATCCAACTTGGTCTGGGAAAAGGAAGCTAACCAGCTGCTAAAGCGGAATCAGAGCTAACAGAGAAAGGGTCCTTCATGTTGAAACCAGAAGATCAGAAACAGACCTTCAGCTCCCTCTGAACGTTTCCTCCAGGGTTCAGGTCTGGAGGTGGATCTCCTGATCCATCCTCCCATCCATACGGTTATCCATTATGGCCTTGGTGGGCAGATAACCGGTTCAAACAGGTTTAGTTTATGCAGATAATGAAGTGAAGAGGAGAACTTCTTAGAGAAGAACAAATATCAGCTTTCATAAAGCAGGATCAGTCAAGAAGAGAAAGACAGGAGGTTTAGACAGATTCCTCCTGTTCCCCAGCAGGAGGCGCTTTTGTGCCTCCAACAGTTCTGCTCTTTTATTGTCCCTGAAAAGATGCTGTAATGGAAATGTCTCTTTCTCTGACCCAGTGTCCAATGGGGGAGTTTAAGGTGCACCGAGTCCGCTTCTTCGACTATATGCCCAGCGCCATTCGGGCCATGGCCTTCAACCGGCAGATGGAGCGGCTGGCCGTGGCCCGGGCCGATGGCGCCGTGGAGATCTTTAACTTTGCTGACAACTACTTCCAAGAGAAGGTAAGGGCCCACGTAGCAGGTGGTGAGGACGACAGCTTCCTGGACCTAACCTCCTCCTCGCTCTCAGGTGATTCCTGGGCGGGACGGGCGAGCTGTGGAGGCTCTTTGTTGGGTGTCTGGCCGCCTGTTCAGCGCCGGTTTGGATGGCGCCATCACGGAGTACGACCTGGAGAACCTGAGGCCCCGCTACAGCATGGATGCCTACGGGGGGCCGATCTGGACCCTGAGCAGCAACAGCCAGGGGACGCTGCTGGCGGTGGGTGGACCCTCAGTCATTAAAGATGTTTTTGATCTGTGCTGAGATGTGATGGGAGCGTTTCCTCCCACAGGCTGGCTGCGAGGACGGCACCGTGAAGATCTTTGAAGTCCTGCAGGACAGAGTCCAGTTTCAGAGGAACCTGGACCGCCAGAAAGGTCAGTGACGATCCGCTTCTCTGGTCCTGCTGATAAATGATGCTGAGGGTAAAGAACCGAGCTGATCTGCCAGGGGCCCAATGGTAGTCACTGGTTCTGTTCTGGTTACCAGGCTCGGTCCGGTTGGCGAAGTTTGAATCTGTTTTTCCATTTCCAGCCGTTTAACATAGAAATTGATTTGATGTGATGCATGAAATGAGTCAGGAAGGCAGACTGGTTCTGCTTGTTCTGTTGAACCTAGATTAACTGGACCGTGTCCAATAAATGATTCAGGTCGGATCGTTTCTCTCTGCTGGCATCCGTCTGGTGGACAGATCGCCGTGGGAATGATGGACATGCTCCGGATCTTCGACACACAGACGGGTAGGTTCATCCTGAGCGGATCAACGTAGGACTTGCCGCCCGCTGGGCTTCTTCATCCCTTCTTTCTCTCTGGTTCTGACCCAGGCCACGCCACCCAGAGGATGCTGGTGGAGCGCGGTCTGGGGGCCTCTAAGAGCAGGGAGGTGGTGGTTTGGAGCGTGGCCTTTCTGTCCGACCACACCGTCATCAGTGGAGATTCAGCTGGAAAGGTCCAGATCTGGGACGGCTTAACTGGAACTCTGATCCAAACCCATCTGGTGTCAAAGTGGGACGTCCTGGTTCTGTCCATTTCCCAGGTGAGTGAGGTTCCCATTGAAGTGCTTTCTGAGCTGAACATTCTAGAATGGGTCATGATGTGTGAATGATTGACAGGATGAGAGCAGCGCGATGGCCGGGACCTCTGAGGGAACCGTGGTCCAGTTTCAGTTCATCTCCTCCACAGTGGGACAGCAGGACAGGCAGTGGGTCAGAACCAGGACCTTTAAAAACCACTCTCATGACGTGAGGGCGCTGGTTCATACCGACACGGCTGTGGTGTCTGGAGGTTGGTGCTAAATCCTCACATTAGCATAAATGTGCTTCTATTAACAAGATCTTTTAGCAGAACTGCAGATAAATCAGGTTAATTAATCTGAGTCGTAGAGTCAGTTTCATAAACAGATTAAATTTCTGTTTAATCTGTCTTCTATTTTGGTCATATTTAACTTACAGTATTTTCACGACCATAAGGCGCACCGTACTAAAAGGCGCAGTCTCAGTTATGCGTGCCATTACTGTATTTAACACACACATAAGGCGCACCGGACTATAGGGCGCGCCACACATTTTGAGGGAAAAAAAAGACGTTTATATGCGCCTTATAGTCGCGAAAATACGGTATTTAAGCCAAGTGTAGCATAAAGACATTGACTTGTACATGTATATAAATGTACTGTTTATCTGACCATATTGTCTCAAAAGTTAGAAAATATCTATTTAAAAATAAAATCCATTGTTAAAATCTGTGGGGTTTTATGCAGGCCAGCTACTCCTAAATTCGGCCAATCACGTTTGATTGTGACCGGTTTCTTCGAAGCATCTTGCTAACCAGTTAGCAACTTAGTGCTAGGAGGTTCCCAATGGGAAATTCCATTGGGACCAAGTAGCAGTTAGCAATGACACTGTCAAGGAACACTATGGACAGAGGAAACATGCAAGAGGAGGAGAGTTTAGTGTCTGAGGTCGTGTCTCTGTAAATGTTTGAGCCCTTGCCTCGCAACGCTGCCAGTTCTGTTAGCTCTACGCCTGCTGAAGACACAGACGTCCATCGCTGTGAGTACTGGGATGGAACCCAATTGGGAAAGGAAATTATTCTTATTTCAACCGTTGCGTATATCAGCTGCGACGTATGAATCAAGATGCTATGATGGAAAACATTTTGACAGATGACCGTTGATATATGATTGGCTGAATTTAGGTGTTCAGGCTGACGTATGACTAACTGGCCTGCAGAAGATGATGAAAAAAACAACAGATTTTAAGACTGGATTTTTTTTTTTTTTTATAGAAATTTTCAAAATTTGGGGACAAAATAGTTTGATAAAGAGTACATTTATTAAACACATGTTTAAGCCAGAATGATGTGACATTTAAATATGATTTCCCTACGACTTTAAGCAACTAAAAACAACTTTGTTTTAATTCATCATGGTCACATTGCTGGTGATCGGATTTGTGTGAGATTTAGATCCTTGTCAGGAAAACCAAATAAAAACAACAACAAACCTTCAATCCTGCAAACTTCCTGGATGAGCTGCTGCTGTTCTGTTTGAAAAGCTGATTAACTCACTTTAAAGCTTAATGAATGACAAGGATGATGTTCCCTTTCAGGTATGGACACTCAGCTGGTAGTGAGACCCCTGCTGGACAAGGTGGAGAAGAACACCCAGGAGTCAGCGCTGCGTAAAATAGCTTTTCCTCATGTGAGTCTAGAAAAATTGTTTTGCTCATCAATTCAGTTTATTTCTATACCGCCAATTCACAACACATGTTATCTCATGGTACTTTACAGTTCAACCAGATCATCCAGTCAAATTGATTCAGTCTGTAGGGGATGAAGAGACATCAGCTGTGAGCTTAAAAGATCTCAGGGACATTGTTTCTGTTCTGGAAGACACAGCAGGAGCGTCGGAATCGGCCTCCCTACTGGAAGTGTCTGAATAGGTGCTGCCCCTACCACAAACCAAGGCTCCTTGCACTATGAGGAGCCGTGGTTTAGCCCAGCTAGCTTGGAGCACCACATCTGCTCTGGTTGATTTAAACACTGGATTCGTCCCTCAGAGCTGTTTGGATGAGAACTTGTAGTTTTGAGTCCCCTCTGAGGCCGGGCTCATCAACCCAGATCCTCTTTGACCTGGAAGAGTCTGTGTTGTTACTCCCGGTGAGGGGCAGGGGGGCAGCACCTCCATTTTGTTCATGGCGACCGTATCTCAGCCTCCTAACTCTCTTCCTCATCAGCATAAATGTTCAATGGCAAAAAAAAAAGTTGTAAAAACCCACCTGACGGTCATAAAAATCTGCTCCCGCCATGGTAGCCTGATGACCTCTGACCTCTACTTTACAGAGAAGCCTGGTTAGTTGTGCCAAGAAAGCAGGACTTCTGCTCTTCCAGTTCCCGGATCATTTGGAGGTGTGGCGGCTCGGAGAGAGCGACGGAAACGGTGAGAAAAATGCATCAAAGCGATGAATGAAGGCATGACTCTCTGTCCGCCATGTTTGCTTTCACTCGCTGTACCTATTTTAAAGCTGGCCAGAGGCCAGCACCATGAAGAGAGTTCAACCTGCTGGGATTCCTCCCAGTTTAACCAGTCCACAATAAAGGCAATCAGAATCAGCGGACCTGTACAGAAATACCTAAATGTCTCTTCTACTGTTTTATTCTCATCCAGACTCTGCTCTGACATCAATGATCCATTTCACACAAAAAAAGTTCCTGTTTCATTCATATTCACCTATGTCCAAAGTCCCTTATTTGTCTGGAACCTGAACACAACATGAATCCTAAACCGAAACCGTATCTGGTGCTCCATACTCGGAGTAAAAATATACCTGGAGCCAAACAGTGGTGAATATTGGAAGTGCAGTTTAATATACCAGTGTGTGAATAGTTTGGTCTGATGAATGATACCGTAGTTGTTTTAAATTGTTATTGAGTCAGATATGAGGCGGATAATGTTTGGTTTATTGAAAGGTTTTATCTGTCCTGTGCAAATGGGTTTGGCTGACACGCTTAGATTCCAATAACTCTGCAGTGTGGGGACTATAACTTTATTTGCAATGACTGTACTGCTTCTGAAGCTCCTTGGAAATGAAATTAGCATTGAACAGTAGTGAGAAGAAGCCTCCATTCTTCACCTGCTAAGCTTCACTTGCTAAGTTACAGAGTCTATGCTAACTGAGGGGTGGAGAAACCCAGAGAAGGCTGCAGCTGTTCAAATCCACACAAACTCTTCCAGCCTCCTTAATTTCACGGCCCTTGAAGGACCCAGTTCCAGTAGACCGGGTCCTTGGAGGACGCAGCTGCTGAAACCCAACGCACCCATAGTCCCCGTTTAGCGAACTGCTGGAGTCCATCAGGGCGGCGACCCGGTTTCTATGAGCAAAACTTCTGCTGCTTTTTAAACTTTTCACATTTTTGGATTTTACCAGCAGCACATCATATGTTAAAAATACTGACCTCTAGTGGTCAACATAAAGATAACTATTGCATCTGGTGCCACTAGATGACCTAGATCTACATGTCAATCTGATAATTGTTTACCAAGGAAAGGTTGAAAATAAGTTAATTATGTTATAAATTTGAAAAGCAACAACAGTAACTAGAACTGAGAGTAAACATGTGGTGGTGCTGTGGTTGACAGGAGCGCCCTGGGAGAGCCTGCCTGTGAAGAGGAAACCAGAGAAACTGATCCAGCTGAAGAGGAAGGTGGGAGGAGAGACACTGCTGGTTACTGGGCTAACTGGGAACCAGTTCTATTTACAACCAGCATGGATAATTGTCATCACTTCAAAATGAGTTCATTTATTCACAGGACTAAAAAGAATCTAAAGATTTTAAAATGTAACCATTGGTTAGCATGAGCAAGCACTGGTTAGCATGAGCAAGCACTGGTTAGCATGAGAATTGGTTAGCATGAGCAAGCACTGGTTAGCATGAGCAAGCACTGGTTAGCATGAGAATTGGTTAGCATGAGCAAGCACTGGTTAGCATG